ACATTTATTAGGAATAAAGACTTCTGAGTTTCGGTGCATTTGTGCGTGCGGGGGTCATTATGTTACCACTATGAGGTATCTAGTTTTAGCATTTAATGTTTTTTTAGACGCCTTCACATAAAATCGCTTTCGCTTTTTTCTTTTGGTCTTCGTGGCTCGCCGTCGAGCGCTCCGTTCCCCTGGGGACGCGAATCAACTTTGGAATTGGGTTCCTGAAGTTTTAAAAGGCTTCTTGTAGTAAAAAATAAAATAAAAAAACACGGTTTTTAGACCCGGACGGAGCCGGAAATCCATGGCGCACCGCTCGGCCCCGGACTTCCCGGCCGTCCATCTGGTTCTGGAGCATTTGAAGGACCTGAACCGGCAGCTGGAGGAGGAAAGAGCCAGTCCCGAGGCCAGCGTCCACCTCAGCGCCCTGGCCGCGGCCGTCTCCGAGCTGGAGGCCAAGCGGCGCGCAGCGCACGGACAGCTGGAGGCTGAAACCACTGAGAACAACAAGCTGAGGCATCAGCTTAAAAACACGTCCGACCGTGTGAAGGAAGAAATGATGGCGGATGTAGCCGCAGCCAGGACGTCTAATGCCGAGGAGATGGAGCAGCTGCGCAAAGACCTCAGCCGGCTCTCTCACCTCCTGGAAGACTCTGAAGAAAAGCTGCAGACACTTGTAAACCAAAACAAAACGCTTCAAACAGAGCGGGAGCAGGTGAAGGCCGAGCATGAAGCTGTCACTGCTGATCTGAATCATCTCTTTGATCTAAAAACCAACCAGCAGACGCAGCTGAACCAGAAGCTGCAGCTGATAGAGGAGATCAGATCCTCCATCGCTGGTGTCCAACAAGAAAATGCATCCCTCCAGGAAATCATGACGTCAGAGAGGGAGGCCTGCTCTGAGGAAAAACTCAGCCTGTCCAGAGAGATGGACGAGATGGAGGAGAGGATTAAAATGCAGAAAGAAGCCATGGAGAAGAGGAGAGATGGAGTGAAGGACAAGAAAGAAGAAAGTCTGCAGCGTTTTGGTGAACTCTGCGCTCGCCTGGATGAAGAGGAGAAACACCTTCAGAGCGTGACAGCATGTCGGAGCCAGTTTGAGCAACAGCTGCAGGAAGAGGCTGCAAGGAGCAATGATTTATGTCAACGAATGGAAACGCTGGAGAAGGAGTCCCACGGGTTAAAGGTCACAGCCAAAAWCCTTCAGGAGGAAACTGCAACAGTGGAAAGGAAACTAGAGGAGGAGCAAGCTGCCGCTCTGCTCCTCAGAGAGAAGATGTCCAAGGCCCGGGAGGTTCTCAAGTACCGGCACGGAGAGGAAACCCAAGAGCGGGCTGAGCATTGTTATGTCTCCCAGCAACTGAGAAGGTCCAAMCTGCAGCTGGAGGAGCGCTTCACCTCCATAGCTGTCCACAGCAGTGGCATCAAGGAGATGGAGAAGGAGATCAGATCACTCCAGAAAGCGGAGGTCCTCGCCAGGCGTGAGTTTGAGAGGAGGCGCRAGGAGCTGCATGGGGATCTGAAGATGATGAAGGATAAGATCAGTCAGTGTGAGGAGGACAAGAGGAGGTTCACTCAGCTCCTGGAGGAGTCGAAGAGCAGGCAGGAGGAGCACGTGGAGAAAGTGACGTCTGATATCGTCCGTGTCAAGAGGAGGTACGAGGAGCTGCTTCAGGAGGAGGCCACTCTCCTGCAGCTGCAGCCCAGAAGYGCGGACACCGACCTCCTGATGAGCTACGTAAACCAAACTGAGCTGGAGTGCAAACAAACGAAGAAGATCCTCCTGCAGGAGGTGCAGGCGATCGACGCAGAGATCCACTACATCTGCAGGAGCACCGAGGAGAAGCAGAGAGAGCTGGAGGAGAAAGAGGAGGTGCAGGAGGATTTGGAGGTGAGGTGGACCGAAGTGCTGAACGAACACGACAGACTCACCAGGGAGCTGGACCTGGAGAAGACCCAGCTGGAGCTGTGGATTCAGCACACGAAGAACCAAACCGAGCTGCTGCTGCTGCCCAAACCGGACCTGAAGGCCCAGCTGGAGGAGCTGCAGGAGACCCACATGGACCTGGTGAGAAAGCAGAGCTCAGAGCTCCTGGCTGCAGAGGTGAGCGTCTATAATGACAGCGTGATGCTGAGGCAGGTCCGGGCGGAGAACAGCACCGTGGAGCTCTGCATCAGACAGATGACAGAGGAGCTCAGGACCAGCCGGCAGGAGGAGGAACACTTCCAGCAGGAGGAGCAGAACCTTCAACACAAAACTAAAGACACCGTGGAGAGTTTACAGGAGGCGTGGAAGCAGGATGTGGAGCTGGTTCTGAAGTGTCAGAGCAGAGACCAGCACTTGTTGGACTCCATGAGCTCACTGAGGAACAAACTGAGGAGCAGGGAGAAGCAGCTGATGGGAGTCCTCTCCATCCTGCACCAGAACATGCTGGACTTCAGCAAACGCCTGGGAGACGCCGCTACGTCCAAGCAGCACATCTGACAACAGTTTACTCTTTATTCCCCTCATGTTTTAGGTTGACTTTGTTTTTGGATTGTATTTCAATACACCCACTAAACGTCACTCATTAGTGACTCAGAAGATTTTTAAGTTTTGTTTGTGAAACTCAGCGTGTTGAATTAAAGTAAAACAGCAGCTCTTCTCAGTTTCTGGAGTTTATTTCTAAAGTTTACTCTCTCTTTTTTGTCTCATTTTTTTATTTAAATCGTTATTCGTTGCTTTAAAACAAATCAATTCTATGTACAAATTTAAAAACCACAAATACAATGAAATGAAATGAAGAAAAAATCTTATATCTGCCACTTTTTTCCTCAAGTATGAACTCAAACAATACTAATCTTCAGTTAACATAAAACTTTAAAAAAGGCACATCCTTCTAGAACACAAATTTACACGAATACATATATACTGTTTCATATTTCTTCAAAAACCCAACTTTTATCATTTTCTTAAACATGTACCTAGTATCTGGTATTTTTAACATAATTTTCCAGATTATTCCTCAATCTCACTCCTTGGATTGAGCTGCACCGTTCAGACTGATTCTTAATTTATGTTTTATTAACATCTCTATTCCCTTTAAGTTATAACTGCTGTCTCTTAATAAAATTTATCTGAATGTTTAAAGGTAATGTGTTTTGGTGAGCCTTATAACTTAACAAAATATAATCAACCAAATTATAGAATTTCAATAATTTCAATTTACAAAATAATAAATTAGATGGATAATGGTAATGTAATTGTCTTACATGCTTTCCCCCCTCAACAYAGTAGACAAAGTGTGGTACAATTAATGTGTTATATAACATATACAGAGCTTTATCATTAAACAAGTCCCTTACTTTGTAAAGCAGTGCAATAGATTTAGCTATTTTAAAGTTAAAGTTCACCTTTTCTACTCATTTTTCTGAAACTGTCAAAAGGGTATAATTAAAAATGGAAAGAAAAGCTTTCAGAGACCGGTGTTGCAGCTCCAAAAATGTAAAGGTGACTTAAGTTTAAACTAATTGCTCCTCTGACAATTAATAAATTGTTCTGTTTTGTAGAAAATATGGAAGAAGCAACAAGACCCCATAAAATGAAATAAAATCAGAACTGATGATAATAAAAAAGAAAAATCAATTCATTTCAATAGTTTTGTTGTAAAAAAAAATGTAAAATATTTAAAGCTCTAATTTAACGTTTGGTTTAGATTCAGATGTTTTCCAACCAGAGAAACACGTCGTCGGCTCATTGAGCTGATGACTTCTGTTGTTGTTAGATATTTATTTTTCACATGAATCTGGCTTCTGGACAGAAAATGTGAAATAGTATTTGAACTGGGCGTGGTAACGGCAAACAAGTTACATAATTCAGAGCGTTTCTAAACAAATTTGTTGCAAGACAGTTTTTTGTTCATTTGCCCAATTTCTTGTCAGATTGCAGCATCGAGGAGATTTGTTTAATTWATTTATTTTACTTTTCTTTCAGTAACTTTAGGGCTTGTTTTGGAGCTGCTTTAAATAAATAATAGTTAGGAGATGACGTGGCGCTAAAAATCCAGTCAAAACTAGAAAGGAGCTGTTTGGTAGAAAAAAAATTAACAGTTGAATTATTTATTTTTCTCCTCTTCAGTGTGTCCGATGGGTGGAGGAGCCACGAGGCTGTGCACCAACCTGATTCAGACCTTCAAAAGCACCGGCGCTCCTCTTCCTCTCCCCTCGTCCTACCTGGACCCCCACCGGCCCACTCTCACAAACCTGGATCCAGATTTCTGCCTGGTAAATAAACCTCTCAGGAATATTTTATTTTATACTTATTTCCTTTGAATTATTCTGCTTTACTGTCTTTTCTTTTCCTTCTTTTTTTGCCTCTTTCATCAAATTACAATTTTCAGAAAATAGGAATGCTTTTTAAAGTTTTAGTTCCTTATTTATTTATTTATTTATTTATTTATTTATTTATTTATTTATTGAGAAAAGTGAAACTAACTCCTTCATGTCCTGCAGAAGGGCTCCTCTGTGTGCCCCCCTGACCCAGTGGAGCTCCTTCATCAGTGTGAGGAGGCCCTCAGGGACAGACCACCTCGGTTCCTCAGGAACTTTGTTCACCTCSCTGATGGAAATGGAAACAGCGCCCCCAGCAGTCCCATCAGGGTGATGCAGTGGAACATATTGGCCCAAGGTAGGCTGTAACAGGTCACTTATCTGGGCTACATGTGCACTCTAGTGGCCACAAAAATGGACAGAACTTAAAAAAAGTCCAATTTAAAAAWWWTTTTTCCAGCTTAACTCTAGTTGGAAGTTTACCAAAACTCTATTGGTCTTTTTAAATAAACTGATGATTTAAGTTAGAGGAATTAAAGCTGTAGAGAGATGATGTAACAGGTAAAACTCACACATAAATGACAGTACTGGAACACCTCAGTCTCTTGCAGACTTCTTGTGGCTGACGTTTGTGTTCTCCTCCTCCCTTCTGATCCCCAGCTTTGGGTGTAGGCATGGACAATTTTGCTCAGTGTCCCCTGGAGGCCCTCAGCTGGTCCCACAGGAAGTTCCTCATCCTGGAGGAGATCCTCACCTACCGACCTCACATCCTGTGCATGCAGGAAGTCGACCACTTCCACGACACCTTCCAGCCCATTCTGGCGGGTTTGGGCTACGGCAGTCACTTCTGCCCCAAGCCCTGGTCTCCGTGCCTGGACGTGGAGGGCAACACGGGCCCCGACGGCTGCGCCCTGTTCTTCGACGAGTCCCGCTTCGAGCTCCTGGACAGCGTGAACATACAGCTCTCCGCCAAGATGATCCCCACCAACCAGGTGAGCAAAAGTCCCCTTCGGTCACGTTGATCACTCTTGAACGAGGGCAGTAATGCAGCGACGTGTCGCCTCAGGTTGCAGTGGTGATGACTCTGCGCTGTCGCAGCACGGGGAGGTGCGTGTGCGTGGCCGTCACCCACCTGAAGGCTCGCTCCGGCTGGGAGTGGCTCCGCAGCGCTCAGGGATCCGACCTGCTCTGGCATCTTCAGAACCTGGTGGAGACGCTGGGCGGCGGCGACCCCGACGTTAAAACGCCCCTGCTGATCTGCGGGGACTTCAACGCGGTGCCGAGYGAGGAGGTGTACCGCCGGTTCGCAGCGTCTCCTCTCGGCTTGGACTCGGCCTATAAGAAGCTGAGTCAGGACGGTCTGACGGAGCCGGAGTACACGACGTGGAAGATCCGGGCCACGGGGGAGTGCTGCACCACTCTGGACTACATCTGGTACACTAAAGACACGCTGAGGGTGGAGGCTGTCTTAGACATGCCCAGCGAGGAGCAGATTGGACCCAACAGGCTTCCATCCTTTCACTATCCATCTGACCACCTGTCTCTGGTTTGTGACTTCAGCTTCAGGGAATAAAAGGGTAGAACTGATTTTTGCTTCACTCCACAGGAAGACGAGCAGCCGTGATGCTTTGAGTGACAAAAAACAACAAAAAACAGGAAACTTTGAAGCCAGAGAGTGAGGTTTGATAACTGTGACTGAAGTGTTGAAGTCAAGGTGCTCAGGCTGTCGGCCTACAGACTGTGAAAGTCTTCCATCATGAACTTTTTATCACCAGGCTAATCGTAAATAGACTTGTTTTTACTAAAAGAATCCTTAAAAAATAAAGCAGTGCCAACAAAACTGCATCATGTTATAAGAGTGTTTGAAATAAAGTGTTTGCTTTATGTTTTTCTAAGTTTAAGTTATTTACACTTCACATTTTGGCCACATTTCTTTTAACCAATATTTATATTCATAACCCCAATTTCTGACAGGGTTTTGTCAATTAAATCTCAAGGAGTAAAACCAGGGTTCCCACACCTTGGTCAAYATCAAATTCAAGGACCTTTCAAGGACTTTCCAGTATGAATTTTCTCAAATTCGAAACATTTATAACATTTTCTTTTGTTTTTTTATTTTATTTTATTTTATTTTATTTTTGTGTACCAAAACTACAGGGGGTGGGCGGCGAACCTGCACCCCCATTGACCAGACG